ATCTAATTTACCCCAAAATAGTGATGATACATCTCTCAGTATAAACTCCTTCTTAACGTAACATCTCTCTAGGAATATCAATACCGCATACGATTTTTCAATTAAAGCAGAAACTCAACCTTTTCTGTCTGAAGAGCATTTTGTTATCTTCTTCTAAGCTTACAGCACCTGATGTGTGGATAAAAAATCCGTCTTCTGGGGATTTTCAGCTAAATCTATTATTTAAATCCCATTTATTAAGGTTCTTTGCTTCAGTGTCTGAATTTTCTTGGACACCTTTTTCCTGCCAAATACAATCTTCATCATAATGCACATCTTTGAGAAAATACCCCAAGAGCTCCTGTGCAGCCAGCAGGCATGTGCCAACCTTGACCATCTCCTGGGGTTGCCAGCCAGGCTGAATGTACCCAAGGGATTTATCCACGCAACGGGACGTTCTCCATCAGACCAGCTCGTAGTCTCCAGACGACGCAGTGCTGCTCTGGCTTGCAGCCTCAGCACCCATCACCTCCTGTGTAGCCCCTGAGGAGGGCAGATGGGCACCAAGCATCCTCCTACCGTAAGGGCCCACTCCATCTGGTGTGCCCACAACTGAGGATCTGTTGCCATCACACCTCCAGATTAAGGCAGGGTAGCTTCCTGTGCTGGGAGGTGGTCACTCCATGACTTGTCAGAGGCAGAAGGAAGCTCTTTGTTGTAGCAATAAACCTTTTGCTGTCAGCAGAAATCTGTTGCATGGTCATTAAAGAGTGGGTAAGAGGTGCCCCATGGCTTGGGATTGTATTGCTTTGCAGTTTGCTCTGGAGAGTGCTGTGTTTATAAAATCCTAATGCTTTTAAAATCATAGGTTTCTTGTTTTATACGGGTAACATGTACGCTCACATACTTACAAATGCTCCCACACCCCTGTGCTTCCTCGTGAAATTCAGCCACATTCTGAGACTTGCATGGCTTCGGCCCCGTCACCAAATCTTTCAGAGCAGAGGGAGCAAAACACCTTGTGCATCCAACACCACACACCAGTTCAGCACTCAGCTATTGCTTTCATGGGGATTTCCCACGGACAGGGCTTCATCATCATCACCCAAACAGAACCGATCCTAGTGAGTCAGCCACTGCAATTTCTGAAAAAGACTTCGATGCAAATGAAGAATTCGTTCATCATGCTGTAGAGAAAAACATTGGACCTAAAAATGCTGCTCCACACAGTTGGTTATTTAGTGCATTATTGGTATCAAGCCATTGCAGAGAGCATCCATCTCTGTTGGAAGCAAGGGCCAAACTACGATAACCACAGGCCCCTTAGAGGGGTCTAAGTACTGACAGCAAGTGCTCAGAGCATAAAAGATCCCCCAAAAGGAGGATACAAAGATGATCACAACTGGAAAAAGAAGGACCAGGAGCAGCTTGGTGCTGACAAGGACAAATACAATCCAACTCTTCCTTTCACAGAACCACTGGCAAACATTTTGATGAGTTTAAATGCCTCAGAGTGAAGCAAACGCAGGGTGCTAGGGTCAGGAAGAGTGAAGTGGGGATTTTTTTTTTGCTGGTCTCACCAATATCTTTACAGATAGGGGTGATTTATAAATAGCCATTTTGCCATTTCCTGATTGCGGTTTGCCGACACTGCCTTATTTATGGCAGCGCACGAGAAGTGCTCAGCACTTTGCTTTGGTGCATGCCCCGGCGCAGGGCTTCAGACGCAGAGTTCAAACTTTGGAGCGGGCACAGAAACAAATGGATCCCCTGCCACCCATCAGCATCACCTTCAGCATCTCATGACAGATGCTGTGAGGACTGTGATGCTCTTACAGAATAGACACCGTGCTGCCTGCCTTGAAAATACGCTGGGGTGATACATGCAAATACAGTACAACAACAGATTATCAAGCTTGCAGAGCCAGCCCTCTTACATATGCATGTTCTGACAGTCTTTAAGCATATTAACACACCAGTTTATTGCAGGCAGGACCCTCTCTCCTCCAACACATAGGAGGATCCAGGATGTCATTGCCAGCCTGGAATAGCTGTGGAGCTGAATTGTGGAGCTGTGGAGAATGGGAATTGGGAATTGCTGCTGCCCCATTTCACAGATGGGAAAACAGAAGTCAAAACATCCAGGCTGGGAATGCTGAGCTGGTGTGAGCCCCTGCTGTGCCCTCTGCCTGTGGCCACCTGGAACTGGAATAATGAGAAAAGACATCAACCTTTATCAGAAGGTCATTTTTGAGTGGACCGTTCAGTAGCTGTCACCCAATGCAGCTTGGAAGACACTTAAAAAGTGAGGATGCAGGTTTTCAGGTTCTGGTCACCAACCTTGGGAAGATTTTGAGAGAAAAAGCAGAAACCTGACATCACTTATTATAGATGAGCCCACTGAATGTTACCGGTGCAGCAGTCTGGCATGGCCAAAATGCCTTTCCCTAACACGCAGCAGAAAAGGGCACCTCATCACAGGGACATCAGCCAGACTGACAGCACAAGTATCTCATCCTACCAGCATTAAAATATCCTTGGAAAATCGTCTGACTTAATCAGTAGAAATTTCCTAACTCAGAACTGTAGAAATTCTGTATTAGACCTTACACTGATAAATGAGAACAGGCCATTCTTCAGGTGGAAGTGATCACAATTTGGTTATGTTCATTATGCACAAACAGGATGAGAGCCAAGCTCAGCAGTATAAACACGTACTGATTTTGGAGTTTCACACAGGCAAAACCAACCAGCACCCAGGACAAGGACTTCAAGCACAGAAATCTGCCCAAGAACTGGCAACTCTCCTGTGGAGCCCAACCCCATCAGCCACATTCGGTGGACAGCCAGAGCAGACAGCAGGGGCAGAGGAAAAGGTAGATATGAGAAAGAAGGCCTGGCTGGTGTTCCTGGCAGTTTCCTGATTGCTACTCAATTTCTGCATTTGTTCTGTATCCACAGTCAGAAGAAATGGGAGAGGATTTGGGGAGGAGGGCTGAGGAAGCTCTAACACTGCCCTTCAAGAGGGAAGAGAGACCTCAAAAGAAGGCAAGGGATGATTTATCTACATGGCTCACAGAAATGAGCCATTCCAAATGCACCAAATGGGAGCAAAGCTGGGTTAGGTTTGACAGGAGTCATGGATTTGTCTTGTGGAGGTGATGATGGCTGGCCTCATCATTGTGAGTTGTGATGGATTTTCTGTAGCTGAAAGTGTTTAAATCAGCACTGGATGTTCAAGGACACAGTTTAAAGGGACATAGTGTAAAACTGGGGAGTTGTAAAGTGTTTCACGGTGCCGTGCTCGAGACAGACCACGGATCTGTCACAGCCATCAAGGCACCGTGTGCTTCTGCCCTCCTCTCTGAAGGTGCTGCTGGGGCTCTGTAGGCACATTGGTGGAGCTGGGCACAGCTGGGACGTGTTGCTTGGTTGAGTGGGTGCAGAAGAGGCTCCAAGCCATGCGGAAGCACGCAGTGACTGCAGTAAATGTTAGACATCACATTACCCAGAGGTGTGAAGATTTTTGCTCTCTACCATCTTTGAGCAGGTTTCCTAAAGTCTCTAGAAGGCATCTCAGCACGGAGGCTTACCACTGAGGAACTGCTCCAAAGGATGCAGCAGCACGGGCTGTGACCAGGCTGTGAAGCAGACTGAACCCCGTGTCCTTCCTTCTTTGGGGGTTTTCTCCAAAATTCTATATTTTGCACCTGAGAGTAGAAAGTCTTAAAGGTTGAGGAACTGCCCTTGGGCAGTCCAGCATCCTAAGCACAGCTGTTTTTTGTTTTGTTTTGTTTCCCCCCCCCCAATCTTCCTCAAAGTTATAACATGCATTGAACATCCTATTTGGCTTCGCGCTTGACCTTGGGGGACTCCTTGCTCCTCTCTACACTGCGCAGGAGGTGACAGAGCCTCACAAGTGCACTTTGCCTCCTTCCTTCCCACATCCCTTCTAAGCTCATTGGAAAAACATCTTCCCTTGCCCAACTTCACCAATTCCCCTGCCCCTTTGTTTTTATTTAGCTCTGTAATTACATTATCTGATTGTACAGCATTTTGGAATGAAATCTGCATGAAAGATATTAAAAAAAATAAATTTCTATTTCGCAATGTCTTTGAAGCTATCTTTAGTCCGGGCAACCAGAATAAAACCAGTGCTTGACTTTTCACAAATTTTCTGCTTCGTGGAGCTCTTGGGAAAGAGGGCTTCATGGGCCGGGGCAGGGAAATCCATGAGTTCGGATTATTTTATTAACACTATTAATAACTATTTTTTGGCAGTGCTTCACAAGGGAGAAAAACACCAGGTATGCACAAGATGTAATTATGTTTATAGTTAATGCTGAATGTTTTCCATGGGAGAAAAAGCGCCATGTTTTTTTTTTTTTTTTCCTTTTTTTTTTTTTTTTTTTTTTTTTTTCCCGAGGAAAACAGCAAATTTTGCCGGGCAGCACCAAACGTCGCGAGGACGTGCCGGGGAAGCGCTCTTCTTTCTCAGAGGGCGACGGTGGCGGGATGAGTTTCACACGAGGATGGGGACTTGACGATTATTGTGAGAGACTCCTCAAACAGGGGGTGCCACCACGCTCCCGAGCGCGGGGGCTCCGCGCACAGCGGGCGCTGCCCCCGCCGGCCGCGCTGCGGGGGACGCCGCCCGGGCGAGCGGGCGGCGGGGAGCGGGACCCGCCGCCAGCCCCCTCCCCGCCGCAGGCCCCGCTGCCGGCCCGGCTCTCGCCCCGCGCCGCCCGGGACCCCTCGGCTCTCGCCCCGCCGCGGGCCGCCGGCTCTCCGCCGCCCCCCGGAGCAGCGGCGGCGGCGGTGGCGGCGACGGCGGCGGCCGCGGGGCGCTTCGACGCCGCCGCCGCTCGCCCCGCGGCCCCTCGCCGGCCGCCCCCGGGCCCCGCCGCGCCCCGCAGCCCGGGCCCCGCCGCCCATCGCGGTGGGGCGGCGCGGCGCGGGGCTCGGCGCGGCCGGGGGCGCTTCGCCGGCCCCACGGCGCGGAGCGGCCCCGCGCCCGCCGGGCGGCGGCGGCGGCGGTGGTGCCCGTCGCGGGGCCGGGCCGAGCCGTGCCGGGGCCGCGCGGGGGCGGAGGGCAGCGCGGGGCCGGCCGGCGGCGCGGCGCGGCTCCCGCGCTGGGCCAGACTCAGCCCCTTTCTCCCGCCGCCGCTGGCTGCGAGCGCGCTGCGGCTGGAGCTGCCCCCAGAGCGGCTTCGTGATGGCGGCGGCGGCGGCGGCGGCGGCGCGGGCTCGGCAGCGGGAGGCGCCCGCCCAGCCCTGCGCGCCGCGCCGCTAGCGGCAGCGCCCGTGCCCGCGGCGGCCGCCCCGGCCCATGCCCCCGGGGGGAAGGGGGGCTGCAGCAGCCCGGCGAGCCGCCCACCCGCGCAGCGGGGGCATCGCCCCCACTCGCCGCTCCTGGGAGGGCGGAAAGCAGGCGGCGGCGGCGCCGGCATTGTGCGCGGCGGATCGCAGGCCCCGGCGGCGCGGGGCTCGCCTGCCTCCCGCCCCAGCCCCATGAACCAGCCGGACGGCTCCGCTCCGGCGGCGGCGGCGGGAGCGCAGGTACGCGGCGGCCGGGCGGCGTGTCCCCGGGGGGAGGCGGAGGGAGCGGGGAGGGAGGGCGGCAGCCGCAGCCGCCCCGTCGCGGAGCCCCGCCGGCGGCGCTTTGGCGCAGTGCGCGGGGGGCGCCGCCGGGGCAGCCGGACCCGCGCCGCCGAGGCCCTCCCGGCACGGCCCGGCCCGCGCCCCTCGGACCGGGGCGGAAAACAAAGCGGCGCCCAGCAGCCATGTCGGCGGGGACGAGCCGCCGGCCGCCTCGCCTCGCCTCCGCGGCCCGGCCCCGGCCCCGCGCCCGCTCCCCGGCCCGGCCCGGCTCGGCTCGGCTCGGCCCGGCCCGGCGCCCCCGGCCCCGCGCTCCGGTCCCGTCTTTCTCCCTGCTGGAGCTTTTCCCCCCCCCCCTTTCCCCGCTCCCCTTCTCGATTTTTTTTCTTCTTTCTAATTTTCCTCCCAAACGGTAGTTTTTTTTTTTTTTTTTTTTTTTTTTTTTTTTCCATTAAAACGACGCCACCTAGAGGAGACTATTTTCGTAAATAAAAAAAAAAAAAAAAAAAGAAATTAAAATTGAAAAAAAAAAAAAAAAGAGGAAATATTCAGCTATTTCTTATTTTTAAGAAAGTTGGCGCCGGGCGGGGCGGTGCGGGGCCAGCGGCCGGGGGGGACCCCGGCACCGCCCCGCCCGGCGAAATTTTATTTTTGTCCCTTTGGAAGCAAAGCCGTGCTCGTATGTAAATGAAAATTAAGCTGGAATTTGAATGAATTCAGGTTTTTCTCTCCCCCTAACCTCCCACACCCCCCCCCCTCCGGTTCTCCTGAAGGAAAATAAAGGCTGGAAGCAGCAGAGTGCTGGGGAATCCAACTCGTTCAAGTTGGAGGTGGGCACCTCTGGATTAACTGCAATAAAATGATTAGTTTGGGAAAGTGGGAGAATTGCTGTTACGGAGCAATTAAGAATTGTACTTCATTGTAATTTTGAACTTGCCTACCACAGTGTGCCAGAACGGGCTTTTGCTGCAGTGCTTAAAGTTATTTGTTTCAAATAAGGAGTTTTGCAGGAAAATTAGACCATAGAAAATTTGCTGTGGACACACCCAAATTTTTTTTTTTTTTGTGATTTTGGATTTCATGCAAAACTGCTCTTAAACAATAAGATTCTAAACACGGTCCAGGAAAACACGAGGACAAGCAAAATTAAGAGTCGAATGTCAGTTTTATTTTTGAATTTCTTGGCATTTCTGATGGTTTCTTCTGGCATAATTAAAACATAGTTTCCAGCATTTAATTTCCTACTTCATTTGTAAAGAAAAAATTTCCATAGTAGGTTTTTTTTTCCTTCTTTTCTTTTTTTTTTTTTTTTTTAAGCACATGCAGACTGTAACTACTCCAGATACTGTGTATCTTATAAATCTAGTATTTGCACAGGTTTATTATAAGGTCCGCCATGATATTATGAATGTGCATAATTAACAATATTGTGAAAAATTAATTGAAGATTTAGTGATTTTGATTTTTTTTTTTAAACAGTAAATCTGAAGTGGCTTTTCAGGGCTGTGCCATGATATTTTTCACAATTTCAAAATCCTTTTTCTCCTTGACTCTTACTGCAAAGCCTTCCTGGAGTTTGAGATGAATTTTTTTTTTTTTTTAATTTGTTGTCATGTTCAGATTATTTTGCTGTTACGGGGAGCCTGCAAGTTTAGGACTGTGCACAGACTGGTTTGTTATTGTAGGGTTGCCCTTGAATACTGGGGTCTTGGTATTGATCTTTTAAAAATAAATAACAAAAGAGCTCTGAAACATGCATTGTTTCAATAAAAAGCAATATAGGAGAGATGCATGGCCTTTCCACCCAAAAGTGGGGGAGGGAGAGGAAGGGAAAGATTAGGTCAACATTGAATTTTACCAACCTTGACACAGTCTCCTCTCTAAAATGGGGACAAAATAGCAAGATGGCTGGCTCCACAGCTGCAGCAGTTCTTTCTTTTTTTTTTTTTTTTTTTTTTTTTTTTTGAAAAAGGCATTTTTAAATTTTGAACTCAGAAGAGTTCATGGAGCTGCTGGGCACCCACCCTCAAATGTTGAATTGCAACTGGTTAAAAAAATTAAAATTCAATCTGGAATGAATTTTTAAATCTGAATTTCAAACCCATGAAAAGTTTCTTCTGTTTTATTTCATTGTAACTTGATCTTTGTTTGAAATTAGGCAGCACTGGCTGAAAAATTAAAGGTTCTGAGGCTGTTTTTCACCCTGCTCTCCTTATTTTATTTCACATTTTGTGTTTCTTGGGGGGGGGCAGGGGGACAATAAAAAAATTTGCAAAACAGGATAATTCTTTTGGGTGGAGGAGAAAATATTCTGAAATGTCAGCTTCATATTTTTATTTTTATTTTTGTGCTTATTCCCCCCCCGACGAGGACCCACCCTCTTCCTGGATCTTTTTTAGCAAATAATGAAACAAGTACCACGGTTACAGACCTGCAGTAGTGCAGATAGAGTGGGGTGGCACATATGGGCAAAAATTACACACAATGCTCTAAATTGGATTAAACAATCCCGGAGAATATTTTATTCATGGTTTCAGCCAGGAAGCTGTAACGTGCTGGCTTTTCCATATTCTTATATGCCAAGAATTCCCTTCCTTGAGCTGCACCCCAGAACTTTCACTGACTATGATTATACCAAAAGAAACTGTTTAGCTGTAATTTTTTTTTAAGGATTCATACATTTTTTTTCCAAACAGAGAGCTTTTGATGCTGCTTTTTCTCTCCCTCTGTGCTCCCCCCACCATCACCCTGAGATCTGGGGAGAAACCCCGTGGCTGCATTGTAGGATCAGGGGGGTTATGCATTGATGGGTGCTGCATTTAATTATAAATAATGGCATATATTTGGTTTGGGGTCACAAATACCGTGTTTTAGTTTTATCTTTAAAGTTTATCATGGTCTCCTAAAATATCGCTATTGAAATTAGTTTATATCTGCCGTAACCTGTTTTAGTCTGTTGTGAGAATAAGTGAATTGTCTTGAGGTGGTTATTTGGGATGTGCTGTGTGTTGCACGTCTCCTCTGCAGAGATTTGAAATGCAAGGCAATAGTACTCGGTTGCAACTTGTGGGGATGCTGTCATACAGTAGGTGTGCGTACCGCAACCTTTACAATCTTTAACTCTGCGTATATCAGTTTCTTTTAAACAACGGCTTCCATTATATATTCCACTGGTGATGAAAAGCTGCGGTTTAGGTTATAATGGGTTTCTGAATCTAACCTTTCTGTGTGCTGGTGTCCTTCCAGGAGAAGCCTCCTCTTGCTTGAAAAATTTTTCATAATTTTTCATTGCAGTCTGCTTTCAGAGGATTTTTTTTTTTTTCTGGAAAGTTGATCAATATTTATCATTTTAAAAATTGCTGTTGGGCAGCCAGGGAGGGGGAGGGGAGGAAGCAGCGATACCAACGCCGCACTGGTGGCAGGACTGAAACGTGCTTTTGAAAAAGGAAAATTTTGCAAAAAGTACCCAGTCCTCAGCGAGGGATGAAAATAGACACAACATTATTAAAGTAGTAGATAATATTTACACAAGGTCAATATAAAATATTACGATCCTATTCGCATAACTCCAGAATAATTTAAATATATATCACTGCCGTAATGGCACGCGTAGTACAGGTCTGGGTGCAGTCACGTGGCTCTGGTGATGCACGGCCAAGTTTGCAATTATGCAAGTGCGGTAGTGAAATTAGGCTTCCAAAAATCAGAATTTTTAGAAATTTGTATTTTATGTTGGAAACATGACGTAAGGCTTGTGCTGGGAAGGAGTTGGGGTTTGTGCCCTGAGGCCGTTCCATGGGCAGCTTGGGTGTCCTTCAGGTTTGGGAGCAGGCACGGTGTCCATCCACGCAGGGCAGTGGGACAGCCCAGCCCAGTTAACGTCCATCGCCCTGCCTGCGTGTGCGAAGCACGTTGTGTGTACAGAGGGGCTGCTGGATCGCAACTGCACCTGCTGCTGCTGCCCAGGGCACTGCAGGTTACTCTAATTCACCTTCTGATCCCCATCAACAATTATTTGTATGCTAATTGTGCTGGGAGCTTTCAGGAACAGCCTAACGTGCACAGCGTTGGTCCTGCAGTGTGCAGGAACGTGCCTTTTGTGTCGTGGTGCTGGCAGGATGAGGCCCTGGTTGTAAGTGGTGGGAAAAGCGGTGGCAAGAGAGCACCTGGGCATGGGGACTGCAAGTGGCTGGAGGTTGTGGTTTCTCTTTGGTGACGGACACAAGTAAATGCTGCGGGGAGATACTTATTCCTTGTAATTTATCAGTTTCTGAGCTGTTAAAACTACAGCATTATGTATATTTGGAATTGGGCACGTATGGATTCAGTTTGGCCATACTGCATTTTCTAGGGAAGAAGTTTAATTTTAAAGGTCTTTTATGGATTAATTGCTAGTCATCTGCCTCCTTTTTGCTTTTGTTTGGTTCCTTGAATGTCTCTTGATTATTCTGTACTATGTGATGCCAATTTAGTGGTTAACTAGTATGCAAACTACATCTGGACGTGTTGACTTTGCATTAACAATCATTGATTTGTCTGGAGCAAGGGAATAGAAATGAATGATGCTGTTTACCATGGATAGTATATGAAAAATAACCGTTTGCGATGTATCTTTCATCAGTGGCATGCAGCTCTGGTGCAACTTGTCACGGTGGCTCTGCCTCATCAGCAGTCACGTGAGAGCTGAATTTTTAAGCCCTAGCACTTGGAGTGGGAAAGAAACCCAGGAAAGCAACTGCACGTGGTGTATGGTGAAGGTGGTGACTGCATACCCGGTGTGGGAGAGGCTTGGCATGTGGCTCCTGGTCTCCTTGGATAGCTCTTGGGATGGTGGAAGGGGGGTACAGTTGTGGCAGAAAGGGAGGAGAAATAATTTATATATATACACACACACATATATATGGAGCTTTTCAGTTGAACATTATAATCACCAGTGATAAGCGGTGGGTTGAGTTGGTGGG